ATCCATCCATCCATCCATCCATCCATCCATCCATCCATCCATCCATCCATCCATCCATCCATCTGCTTGTTCTGGAGTCGGCTCATGTGGACAGCAGCTTAAGCAGGAGGTCCAAACATCTCTTTTCCCAGCCACCTCTTCCAGCTCTTCTGGGAGGACTCCAGGGCGCTGTCAGAACAGCTGAGAGACTTAGTATCTCCAGCACTTCCTGTATCTTCTCCGGGGCCTCCTCCCAGTCGGACATGCACGTAAAAACCTCCCTCGAGAAGCATCCTGTTGTCCTAATTGAACTCGCCATTTCTCTAAGTAAGAGTCCGGCCACTCTGAAGAAAACTCATCTCAGCCATCTTTATCCACAACCTCGTCCTTTCGGTCACTACCCAGAGGAACTCCTATTCACTTGAATCTCTTGCACCAAAAACTTCAAGCTTCACTTACATTTTCTGTTCAGTTTCAGTCCAGAAAACTACGAACGTTCTCCGTTTGATCCATCAGCGACAGGAACACTGGGATACTGATTGTTGGCGTCTCTCTCCAGCTGATGCAGTTTTCTTTAGTTTTCTTACTCATCTGCATTAATGTCTCATCTTCGGGTTAATTTTTAAAATATGTTGAATTTAGAGCTACACGCTTCCTCCCCTGCAGGATGAAAGCCCTTCAGCCTGCCTCTTGGCACACGCAGCTAATAATAATAAAACTTTCAAGGCACGTCTCCCTTCATATTTATCCCATCCTTGAATTACGCACTTATTAATTTTTCCGCTTAGCTGATCTCTGTAATGACGTGTTGTACTTGAGTGTTTTGGTGATCAGGAAGCCAGATGAGCGTTTTAAAGCCATGATGACTGCGTAGAACTACATTTCAAAGTTGTTGCAAACACAATACGTCTGACCTTGAGCCAAAATGGCAACGCGCTCCCCTGCACTGCGCTCTCTCACACGAACAGTTAAGTTCACCCAAGTGTGAGTTTGTGGCCAACCTCATAACGATTATTGTCTGTCGATGTGATGTCATTCAGGATCAGTGGCGTGCATTCGCTGCGGTAAAATGACAAACAAGGTGACAGTCAGTGCGTCGGGACAAAAGCAGGTGCTGTACACGTGCACGGCTCCCTGCTGCACTATCCTCTCTCGTTCTTTCCTTTAGGGTCACCTCAGAGGTGCTGAGTCAGCAGAGATGTCTTTACAGGGTGTAAACTAACCTGCAGTTCACCAGGTTGCTCTGACCCCGGCACAAAGAGCTGAATCAACACATGGAGACTTCGCAGCCTCCCGGCTAAACACTACAGGCTCTTCAAAATAAACCGTAAAAGCCTGCGCCAGGAGGAAAGAACAGGATTCTCTTCGTAGTGCAGAATGGAAGGAGCGGAGGAAGAGGAGCTACAAAACTGTAATTAAGGAGTTGAGAGAGAGAAGTGCGGCTGATGAGGAGAGAGGGAGCAGAATGTGAGGGGAAGCCTTTGAGAGGAAGGAGTTATTCAGTCGATGCCTTTTATTCAGCGTTCCTGAGGCATCACAACGGCTCTGACGGCTTAGTCTCATCATTAACAGCTTTAGATTTAATTAGCAGTCAATAAGCCTCTGTTTTACCGCAGGAGCTTACGAATATTTAATCACTGTTTGGGTAATGTACCGTGTGTACAGTTGTTCATATGAATACAAGGGAAGAACATCGAAAACGCTTGTCGTATCTCGATTCCTCCACAACGTCTGAGGAAGTGCTTACTGTGGCTTAGACACTAAGGTGACAGTTCAGAGCTTTTAAAGTTGTTTTTTATTTTAACTTACTGTAGATTCAGTGTAACCACTCTGATTAAACTGTCCCCACAGTGAAGCATGGTGGTGGCAGCATCATGCTGTGGGGATATTTTTCATCAGCAGGGACTGGGACATTGGTCAGAGTTGAAGGAAAGATGGAAGGCACAAATATAAATGAATTATTGAGGGAAGTCTGGGTCTTCAAGACATCTGAAGCTGGACTGGACCTTTCTGAGAAGACTAGAACCCTGAATGGAAAACGATTAAAGGCTCTTACTCATGTGAAACATCTGTTGTGGACTGACGGTGAAGTTGATAAAAGTTACATGAATCTATGAAATTTTGGGGTCTGCGTAGTTTTAGGAAGGCCCAAATGTTTGATATATTAAGTTTTATTGCGATGTTCTTCTGTCCTTTGCTGTGAAACGTTTGTTTATTTGATGGATGAAATGGTTGGGAAATGGTTTTTGACCCACAAGTTTTCAACCTTAGAGCACTTTATCTGACTGTCGGACAAAAGCACTTCAGTTTTTAAAGCCTAATGTTTTAACAGGATATCTGCCTTTGTTCAGGTGGAGTTCGAGCTGTGCTAGATTGAATTATAAATATTAAAATGTCTTTTGGTAGCGCTCACAGAGCACATTTAGTGTGAGTTCCATTTCTTTTTGCTTTTTAAGTTTTTGTTTTGCTAGTTTAGGTGGAAACGTCTGTGTCACATTTGATGAACCCTGGTATGTTCACTGTTCAGTGGTGCACCGTCATGATGCCTTCATGGTTCAAATATTCATTCTGTTCCCCGTCGTTCTTTTAATCTGTTTGTATCTTTGTGGGGTTTTTTGTTGTTTTTCTGTCCAGACTGTGCTTGGAGGCGAGGGACCCCTACTGTGGCTGGGACTTCAAGCAGCGGCGATGCACCACGCTGGAGGAGAGCTCCAACATGAGTCAGTGGAAACAGAACATCTCCATTTGTCCGGTGAGACATCACTGCTGTGTTTACCGTGAGAACGAACCTCCACCCGGCGGGCTCGGCTGGTTCTGGTTGGATCTCAGCAGACAGTGCTTCACTGTTCTGTGCAGGATTTACCTGACCGCTTCTGTCCATAAACAGTGGTGACCTGCAGCTGCTGGAGATCATGAATGCTTTTATTGTCACGCTGTGTCCATGTGTGTACCAGATGTCTAGAATTATAAGACTTTCCCACTTTTTCTTCATGTTTTACTGTAAGTAGAATCTGAAGCTTAATTTGAAGGAAAGTGATCCATTTTTTGGGGGGGGGTTGTTTTTCCTTTACTTTTCGTTCATGGACAGATGGAGCGTCGTAAACTTTAATAATATATTGTCGTCCTTCTAAAACATGAATGTTCTTCACAAAGTCAAATTATTCAACACACAACATCCAGACTGAGGCCTGGGACAAGGGTACTTTGAAGTATTTCTCCAATTTAGCAATTTACAGGATCTCGCACCATCCCTAGGAAATTTGTGTGCAAACTTGCAAACATACTGGATCATGATGTTTTATGAACGATTGGTTGATAGAACGGTTGACGTCAACAGATTTGATCAGAATACATTTTAACACACAAGACGTCTTTGAGCAGCAGGTCTTTGTGGCTGCTGTCTTTTCCAAAGCAGAACAGAGATACGTCAACAAAAGATCAAACTGTCTTCGTCCCGCTCACAGATTGTTCCATATCATCCACATAAACTGTAACCAGACGCTGGACCGGAACACAGACGTTCGACTTTGTCTGGAAGGCTGTGGCATCGTTTAGTTTTTAATCAAATGGGACATTATCCTGGGCTGCATGGTGGCGCAGTTGGTAGAGCTGCTGCCTCACAGCCAGATGGTCGCCGGTTCAAGTACCAGCCTGTGGCGTTTGCATGTTCTCTCCGTGTTGCGTGGGTTTTCTCCAGGTACTCCAGTTTCCTCCCACAGACCAAAAACACGCATGTTAGACTGACTGGTAACTCTAAATTGTCCCTTGGTGAGAGAGAGAGAGAGAGAGAGAGTGAATGGTTGTCTCATTTGTCTCTGTGTCCTGGGATGGACTGGAGATGGACGGACAGACGGACGCATGGATGGGACATTATCTCCACCAAAATAATAAAAATAATAATAAGCCTTTACCTCACATGTTGAAAAAAGTCTGAGTTGGAATGATGTGCAGCTGGACCTTTTGTCTTAATGGTACTGTCCCATGTCCCTTTGGCTCAAAAGTACAAAGGCAGCTCTAATAAATTAAACATTTTTGCTTCAATTTAGGAAGAAAACGGAAGAAACTTTTATTTTTTAATGTGGAACAAATCAAAACAACTTTCAGTAAAATGAATAGGGTGTCTAACACGGTTTGTTGATGAGTAAACACTTTTCTACATTATTCATTCACGCTCTTTCTTATAAGTATTGACTTAATCTTTGTGTGTTTGGTGATCTTAGCTTTTTTTAAATTTCTATTTATTTATTTTCTTTCATATTCATGAAAAGTACAATCTGTTGGAGCACAATACAAACAAAAAATAACTTTCTGCCTCACGGTGCTTAAATGAGATTTTCGTGAAGTACTCACCCAGTGGTCACTGTCTGCCGTCCAGCTGAGGAATCAAACCATCAACGGTGTCTTTGGACCCTGGTCACCATGGCAACCGTGCAACAACGATGATCCCCTGGACGGTGTGACCTCCTGCTTGTGTCGCTCCAGATCTTGTGACAGCCCTGCCCCTCGATGTGGAGGAAGAAGCTGTGAAGGCCACACGATTGAAGTGTCGAACTGCTCCAGGTAGGAAGAACGGTGCAACTCGTCGTCGCATGTATTAAAAAATAAAATAGTGTTTTATATTTCAAATTACATCCGGAGATCAAATAAATAGGAAACACCAGTAATCTGTCATATTCTCTCAGAAAATGGTCTCGGTCAATAAAAAAGATAAAATAATTGTTGCATTTTAGTGAAAATAGTTTGAAAATTAGTTATAATAGTTATATTAGTTATTAAATTACAAAAAAAAAACAAGTAAAAATCCTTCTTGAAAATTTAACAGACACTTTTTAATGAAGACTACAAAAATGAAATCCTCCCTAAGGACGTGAATGAAAGAGTGACGGATGTCCTGCAGAAGGTGTAGACCACAGAGTCCTGGTCTGATGATCTTCTGTGCTGGTCCGTCCTCTTGGCCAGTGGCTGTTAAGTTTCCCCGACGTAGAACTGATAAACAATTAACTAAGCAGCCACTGACCCAACCTGGTTGATCCACTATGAGAAGGTACTATTTGTAAGACTGAGTTTGTTGCAGCTCCTCAGACTGAAGAAGTCCTTTGGATAAAAGACGAAACGTTTCAACAAGAAGAATCCGTCCAGAGGACCCGAGTGAACTTTGTTAGACTTTTCTTCCTGGATTATGGAGCGTGCTTCAGGATATCCCTTTTCTTTACTTTTGTCCTGAATGACTTTGAGGCGTTCACCTAAGGGAGCAGTTCACACTCCGAAGAAACGTTAAACAGATTGTAAAAGAGACGAATCGTTTGAGAAAACTGAGGTGACATCAGGTTTCACGCGGTGACATGTGTGACTGCCCGTGTTGTCGGGGGAACGAGCCAATCAGAAAACGAATACGTAGAGCTTGAGCACCTTCATTTCTGCCGGGCTGCCATGCCAGATTTAATCCTTAGTGTTAAAATTGAATTGTGCTTTTGTAGAAAGTGGCAATTAAATCATGAGGAGAGCTACGCAGGAACAAAGCACTTAAGCAAATTGAATGAACGTTTCCCAGTCAGAATGAGCTCTCTTTGTGTGTTTGTATTTCTTCTTCCAGAAGTTCAGAATTAGAGCAATAATTGGATGGCTGCAGCTAAAAGCCTTCTTTTCCTCTTCCTCCTTATTTAGCATGGGATAACACCCTGCAAAAAAAGAGGGGGACACAGAGAGAGAGAAGAAATGCTTAAGCACTGGTGAATAATTAAGTTCTGAGCAGCTGTGACATTGTGGTCTCCTACTTGTCCATGTGCCTGTTGCCATAGAAACGGAGGCTGGACACCCTGGTCGTCTTGGGGACAGTGCAGCACGACCTGCGGGACGGGCTTTGAGCTGCGCCAGCGTTCGTGCAACAACCCGTCGCCTCGACACGGTGGTCGGGTGTGCGTGGGGCCGAGCAGGGATGAACGGTGAGAACAAAAAAAAAAACTGTAAATAAATTTTTACTGGCATCCAAGATTGTTTCTGATCAGAGTTCATAAAAGTTAACCTGCCTGGCAGATCAAGGTTTCTTCAAATAGACCAGGAGAAAAGAAATGTTCAGATTTATTCAAATATAAACTTTAATCATCTGCATACGTTGTTAGTTGCTGTAAGTGGTGGAGTAAATCTGTAAAGTTACATTACATAACCAGAAACTACACATTGATATAACTCCAGCTGCTATTCCAGGAACTGTAGACACTTTGTTCTTACTTTATTTTAGTATTTTTACTTTACTGTCTGTGGAGACATGCCAAACATAATTTAATTGTACACGAGTATGATGGGAATAAATGTTTTTCTTTTCTGAATTGATGATTTATTAGAGCTACCATATTTTCTGCTTTACACATCGCACCGCCCTATAAGTCGCATCAGTCCAAAATGTCTAATAAAGTGGAAAAATCCATAAATACGTAGCTTCGCCGTATAGGTTGCATCTATTACGTGTCACCGCTGACAACCCGGAAATGTGGGCCGGTGTTGTGCCAAAAATCGAAATGGCGGCCGCGGGAGCCTGCATGGAAGAACTTTAATAAGAATTTGACAAGATTAACACTTAAAAACATTTATTTGTTTGCTCAAAATTATAGCAAAGTGTCTCATTCTAACTTTTCCTTAATAAATGTACTTTGACGGTCAGATCAGCTGCATTTCAAAACCCGATTCGCAGAAGTGGGCACGCGCAGAGGGACGAGTCGCTGTGCATTTCTTCAAAATTTAACAAGATAACCACCTAAAAACAATTGTTTGTTTGCACAACTTTATAGTAAAGGTGTGTCTCAGTTGAACTTTTACTTAATAAATGCACTTTAATGGTCAAATCAGCCTCATTTCACTGGAGCAGTGCAGCAAAATGAAGCTGATTTGATGGTTCCTCCAAGTGAGCTGGACAAGGGTGGCAGGCTATGGCAAGCCAATTGTGTCATTAATAGCCACTTTTAACTATTACTTTATACAACGGCATGCTATACAACTCGAGTGGCTTTTATGTATGTGAATGTTTCTGTAAAGTGCCCTGAGACAAATTTGTTGTGATTTGGCGCTATTTAAATAAATTGAATTGAATTGAGTGCCATCTAGTGGCTGAAAATGGTAGTGTTCATTATTTTCAGTCAGAATGAATGAAAACGGTCATATCTCAGCCAAAAATTGGTTTAAAATATGGGGAAAATCCATAGACATCGCTTTGGCCTATAAGTCACAGGGCATGTAAATTATGCAAAAAAACGCGACTTATAGGGCGAAAAATATGGTACTTGTATTATGAGACATCTTGAACAATATAACAAAAATGTTATTGTGTTGATTTTGTTCTTCACCATTTTTTTTTTTTTTGCAAAGGAACTTAAACCTTTTACCTTATCGAATGTAAAATGTTACAAAAAAAACTGAAAGTGAAAACTCTAGTAATGAGAAAAGTTTGTCTTGGATTCGGAATCCAGCGTTGCACGTTTTTATTTTTATTTCTTATCTCCGTTCCTGTCTATCCACAACACTTTCTTAGGTTTTATGATTTAAATCAGTTATAATCCTAATCTCAAGTGTGTAGTTCCCGTTAAATTGCATTTTGGAAATATTCTGTTGGATGAAACTTTCCTGCTTGGGCCGTCTCACCAGGTTCTGCAATGAAGGCATGTCTTGTCCTCAGCCGATCTTCTGGACCCCCTGGGGCTCCTGGACGAAGTGCAGCACAGAGTGTGGAGGGGGGGTCCACTCCAGGGTCCGCAGCTGTGAAAATGGAAACACATGCCCAGGATGTGCACTGGTAGGACACACACACAGACAAAAATATAAATAAATGAATTATTAAATATGTTGTTCAGTAACACAATTGGGGGAGTGGTGGTGCAAAGATTAGAGAAGGTGGGCCTGTGATCGGAAGGTTGCCGGTTCGACTCCCCGGACCGATAACACCAACAAAAAAAAGTGTGTGAGAAACCTGCCTCCACCCCCATTTGCCCCATTCTAGGCCCTTAAGCAAGGCCCTTAACCTCCACCATCTGCTCCCCTGGGCGCCCTAGATGTCAGCTCTCTGTTCCACACAGAGGGCTGTGGTAGCTCGATGGTCTGGTTGAGCCAGGAAGGACATCCAGCGTAAAAATAATCGCCAAGTCTTTGTCTGAGATAGTTCGCTGTGGTGACCCCTGAAGAAGGGAGTGGCCGATAGAAGAAGTTCGGTACAGTAGTCCCTCGCTACTTCGCCGTTCATTTATTGCAGATTCGCTCTATCTCAGTTTTTCAAAATAAGACTGGACATGACACACAATTGGCTGATTGTTGGATGAGCTGCACGATCGGCGTGGCATTTTTCATTTAAAATAAACTATCTCACATTATTTAGCACCTGCTGCACATATGTGCAGCCCTTACTGCAGGATAAACTTACTGCTGCCTCTGATCAGCTGTTCTCCGAGAGCGGAGAAGTGGGCGTGGCCAAGAGCTTGCAGGAGGCAGAGAGCAGAGGAGGGAGCTGAAATCATGACGTTCTGTGTTCTTTTAAAGCATTTAAAGTTTAGGAACATTGTTTAGAATATTGCAAGAGTTCGGGGAGGGTTTAAAACGCCTTTACATATATATATATAATAAAAATAAACTACTACTTACTACTTGTACTACTATTCCTACTTTGCAGTTTTTCACATATCGCAGATCTTCAGGGAACAGATCCCCCACGATAAACGAGGGACTCCTGTTCATAAATTTGAGATTATACATAACTTAGCCTTAGGTTTGTCAAAAAATAGTGTTATTATTATTAAACTTTCTTCTTTTATCAATAAACTGAACAAAACTCCATTCAAAATAATTTTACTTGAAGTGCAACAAATAACCCGGAGCATGTTTCTCCACCTCTCCTGTGCCCTTTGATGGTTTCTGAAAACCACCACTGAAGTTTAATCGTCAACAAAAAGTATTTATTTTAATTCCAATACATTTTCTTGCGTCACATGATGCATTAGCTGATTTTCCAGAAAGTTCACCCCAAGATCAGAATTTTAAACTCAAAAAAATCTGAAAAATTATTAACATAAAACCTCCATCTTGGAAATGAGCAAACCTCAGTGAGCATGGTGTTAAAGTTCATGTTTTATTGTGTAAAAACTTACACAATAAAGGTCTGCTGGACCACATCTGGTGAAAACTGAACAAATCATGTCACGACAAACTCCTCGTCTAGCACGGCCGGAGAAGGTTGTTTTGTGGCCACCGAACTTTAAAACTTTGCAGTCATTGAGTGACTGTCTCTGTATTTCAAAGTATTTTGGAGTCAAACATGAGGCCATCTCTCCCACAGCTGAAATCGAATCGAACAACCAAACATTGACCCTGAGCAAACATCTCCGCACTTAGTATCTAACTCTAGGGTAGAACTTCCAACAGTATGAAGAAACGATCAGACTGGTCTGCTTTGAAACGATGACTGAAACTCGGCACCCTTCTCTTTCAGGAGTATAAGGCCTGTAACCTGGAGGCGTGTCCAGAGGTGAAGAGAAACACGCCTTGGACTCCCTGGATGCCGGTGAATGTAACGCAAGGAGGGGCTCGCCAGGAGCAGAGGATGCGCTACATGTGCCGGGCCCACCTGTCCGACCCCCACGAGCTGCAGATCGGACGGAGGAAGGTGGAGTCTCGTTTCTGTCCGAACGATGGGACGGTGGTCTGCGAGACAGACGGTGAGTTGTTGGATAAAAACTTCCTCTGTTCATCTTATTTACTCAAAGCAGCCACACTCGATGGCAGAAGATTTGTAACTGGTTTTACTTGCAAGGACAGATTTTTACAACAGGTTACACAGATGTACAGAAGTATACATGCATTGAGCCACGAGCAGTGGGTGAGGCTGGTCTTTATAAGCTTATCAGCTCCCAGCTCAGACAGACTGGTGTCCTTGGACTTCCAGTTGCACCTGCAGTTTCAAATCAAGCTCTTCATCCCATCTCTGCTCACTCAAACTCATGGTTCATGGGCAACATTCTCAGCCATAGTAGTTAAAAACATCCATAAAACCTTGTCCAGTATCCCCTAACAGAGGGATACATGTAACCAGATCAAGGTTCTGAACGTGGGACAAAAATTGACCCCTAGAGTTCTAGGCAGATACAGAACCAACAATGCATGACCGCTCATCTCTTACCGGCTCAGCGATGGTGATGATTCACTCCGTTTCACTGAAATCAGAATTAAAAAAACGTAACTTTACTCCCAAGACGTACATTTGACTGTTGAACATTTAATTGGCGTTTTATTACAAAGCAAAATTAAACTCATCGTGTGGATGTTGTGAATAAATAAATAAATTTTTTGATAAGACGCCTCAGTGTAAATATTGATATTTTCTTTGTGTGTGTGTCTGCGATTAGTAGTGCACTGCATAATATCACAATTCACTGACATGTCCATGCGTCTTTTCATTAAGTAAACAAAAACATCTTTGTCGTGAATTTATGATATTTCTTTTAGGTTTTCTGGGGCTCGCAGATTTATTTTTTAACATTTGCAGTAAACTCAGGGCTTTATTGTGATAAAGGACAGCGCGTTTGCCTTCCGTGAGCTTTGTGCTATTAGTTCGGGGTAGATTTATAGCGTTTTTCAGAAGTCATTCTCGTGGTTCATCACTGTGTTTGCTGCTGCAATTTTCAGTCACTGAGATGCAAAACAAACAAAAAGTGGATTTTGTTATTAGTGAAGACTTTTTTATTGACGTCAAGGTAGGTCAAACTGGTAATAGACCTTGGGGAGGACTCAAACAGCTGTCATTCAGGGAGCAGGGCTTATTTTTACATTAAAAGCACTGATTTAGAGGAAGCAATAACCTAATAAAAATCTCTCTAAAAAAAAAAAAAAAAAGAGCATGCATGGTACATTTCACAAGGTCAGAGCGTTTGATTTAGATCCTGATATAAATAACATAAAGACAGATGATCTAGTCAAAACATGACATCCACTCATGTTGTTTCTCCTCAGTGGAATATTAAACTAAAACCACTAAATGCCCTGGAAGTTCCTGAACGTCCCACGAGGTGACTTTGATCTCACAAATTACCATAAAAATCTGCACTTATTTGAGGAGCAATGACCAGATGGTACGTAACTGTTTATGGTTGTTTTAATCAGGGCGGCACGGTGGCGCAGTTAGCAGAGCTGTTGCCTCTCAGCAAGAAGGTCGCTGGTTCAAATCCCAGCCAGAGACCATTCTGGGTGGAGTTTGCATGTTCTCTCCATGCTGCTTGTGTACTCCAGTTCACACAGTGATGGCTGTACTGGACACCAGTGACCCCCGTGACCCAAAAAGGAAGAAGCGGGTAAAGATGATGGATGGATTGATTGATTGATTGATTGATTGATTGATGGATGGATGGATGGATGTATGGATGTATGTATGGATGTATGGATGGATGGATGGATGGATGTATGGACGGATGGATGGATGTTTTAATCAACATATCAGACCATCATGTTAACATTCACAGGATATTTTGGAAGTACTCACCCCTTCTCACTTTTTGTCCCCCGTAGCAGAAAAGGGGAATTGGAAATACCCTCCGTCTGTCCGCTCGACGCTCGTCCGTGCATGTTGTGATCATAATAACTTGAATAACAAGTGAAGTACCGACTTCCATGAATCATGTTGGTTTAAAATCTATGTTAATGTCAGGAGAAACACATTTTTGTCTTGGAGTTCTGACAGAAGCTTCACTTTGAGACTTTGACATGTTTTTGCTTCAGCCCTTTTCGGCTACTCTTTTGTTCATCTGAGTACTTTGTGTATTCCCTAGAACTTCCCACACGTTTGAATATTGCAGCTTGCATAATTTGGAAAAATGTTGATGTTTACTTTTACTGTATTTAAATTGACTGTATTTAAATTGACCTAATGCAGATTTTCTGTCTTTGCCCTCCACCTTTGTCATTGTGCCTCAGGCTCAGTTGTCAGCTGACTTTATCTTTACTTTTTGCAGACGTACTTTGAGGTTATGCTACTAAATAAAATATTTTGAAGGCTGAAAGACACGGGTGACAATTATAAATGTCTAGTTTACCCAGCTTTAAAAGATATTCCACTCCTGCGGTGATCCATACAGGCAGGTACAGCCCTGCACTGACCACACACAGACTCTGTGATATTGTCACGGTGAAAGGCAGCATGTAAACATTTTCCCAGCAGAACCGTGACATGTTGAAAAGACCCCTCAGTTGGACCTGTTGGCCTGACAGGGTCACAGTCCAGTACTTCACGTGCACACTCAAAAACAGTGAGCTACACACAACTACAGTTCACTTCTCTCCACTGGTGACTTTTGCTCACACCCTGCTCCAAAATCGATTACCTGTCTCCCCCTGTCAACCTCCTCTGGGGCTGCATCGACTCTAGCAAACTGATGAAACACCGACAGCAGAGAATTATGGGATGCAAAAGATACAGAGCGTCTGAGAGGAAACAGAATAATGTGCCTGCTGGCAAAGTCGTGTACACTTTCCCATTCTTCAAAATATCTCAACTCAGAAAATGACAGGAAATCTTTCTGTTTTTATTTCTAACCTGGAACCTTCTTGTTTGTGTCTGTAGGTCTGGTTGAGGAGCTCCTAAAGGCACCGGTGGTGAGGACGGCCGGAGCTAGCTGGTCTTCATGGGAGACCTGGTCGAGCTGCTCTCAGAGCTGTGCCAAAGGCTACCGAACACGCAGACGATCCTGTTCTGGACCGGAGGGGAAGAGTGCACCGGTGGCATGTCGGGGCTCTCCCGTGGAGTATCAGGACTGTAACGTGCAGGCATGTACCGGTGAGTGAAAACACACCTCTCTATGGCAAACCATTTGAGCATTTATTCAGAATCCTTGGTCCTTTTACTCCTCTTGTTTGTTTCTCCTTTGTACTGGATGGTTTAGTTGCAGTAGTTCAAGATGTTGGTGAATTGGTTGAAAAGCACAAACTAGTAAAAGTATTTCAAAAATTAGTGGCACTTTTATCAGCCCATCAAAAGGCAAATTAATCACAGTGTAGTCTCGGTCTGTTCATACGATCATAAACTTTCTTCTGTCCCACCCATGACTTCTGATATGCTCAAGAAAATTTTTGCAAATCTTCATACACATATGTGTATAGTTCTTAATTTGTAAACCCAATGATGCCATAGCACAAATAGTGGGGGAGGGGGTCCTTCCACAGAAAACTTTGAACAAAGTAGATGCAATTTCCTGCATTCTTGTGTATTTTAACGATTTGTTAAGCATCTAGTTTTACCTACATAAGTAAACACTTGGTTCAATAACTATTTTAGAGAGCATCAAGAAGTAGCCTGACCAACAGCTCTCCTTGTGTGAATAGAGCACGCTCCACTTCTCTCAAGCATCCTAAGCCTGTGGGCTCCTGCCCAGGTACAACAGTCTGGTTAGCTCGGCTCTCACCCACACCTGCTCCAGTATCTCCATTGCCACTGCCTTCACGTGCTTCAATTCTCTGTTTTTTAGTTGAACAATGAGAAGACTTTTTTTTAATGAAAGTAAACTGGACTCTCTTTTAGACATTTTGATTGCTCTTATTTTGACAAATTGGTGCCGTTGTTTTAATACGTGATATATGTGACGTGATTACCCATCAAACATTTATCTCGTATTTTTAATAAATAATCAACATTTTATTATTGACCCACTTAAACTGTACAACTTTACATTTGCAATTTAGTTGTGCTGTTTAATTATATTTTTGTGTGTTTAATTAAATTGCCCATGACTGAACTTTTAGAGGTGGAGATTTTCTTATGGGTAGACGATGAAATGCCAATTTGAAGGAGCAGCTCTGATGTGATGTTAGGAAGCTAAGTGGCTGTTATGTTTAAAATTAGTGTTTATGTAATTATTTTGAGATTACATGTCCAATATAGGTTTTTGTTCGTTCAAGCCTGTCAAATTTGTTCATAACTTTATTATTAGGAAGCCTGAGAGTTCCCAGATCTTATTCTGGCAGGATCTGCCTCAAATTAAGCCATGCATATGTATCATCATTAGACCGAGTGTCAGACAGTATGGACAGGAGCTGATGAGTGGGGTGGAGACACCCTGGCAAAATGACAACTAGGAGCGGGGGGGAGCTCAGGAGCAAAATGGACTGAGGAACTGAACTGAACACAAACGAATAGTCAAAGGAAAATCACATAACACAAAAATCATGGTAACAGAAGAGGAGTATTCCTAACAATAAAGAAAAATTCTACCAAAAAATAACCAGAAGATCCAGATCCTGACTATTTGACCATCACTGTCTAAATAAATAGTTTCTCATTTCATTTATCACGTACTAACTCATCACTTATTTAATTGTATTTGTTTGTAATTTAGAAGCTTTTTAAAAAAAACAACTTTATTTTACCAGGAAGAAATCCATTGAGATCATCAATCTCTTTTACAAGGATGTCCTGGAAAAGCTGAGCTGCACGTGTCTTTACTGGTGTCACCGCAGGGGGTTAAAATCTCTGCTCTGCTTTCATTTGAAAGAGAATACAAGCAAAGAACGTGCAGATATAAAGTCATTTCTTTGCTCGGTGCTAACTTTAGCCGTGCGTTTAGGGTTCGTGAAGAAAAGACGAGCCAGAGGAGATGGATAAAGAGACAGAAGAGAGGTCAGTGACTGTAGTTGAACACTGCTGAGTGGATCATTAGCTTCATTAGCTAATGGTTACCAGCAACTGCCGCGGTGCAGGAGTTCTTCTACAAATTAAGTTATCTGTTTGAACCTCTCATTAAACCATTTTCAGCTGACTAGAACTCTGCTGATCACAGCCTGGCCTACAAACAGTGGTCTCAGAAAGAAGCCTGAGCATCTCTTAGGGGATTGATTTAATTGAATTAATTAATTATGATTGGTTTCTGTGGTGCTGATCAGATTTCACTGGTGTATTTATATGTCTGACATTGATATCCAAATAAAATCCATGGTAGTTAAACCAATAGCCGATGAGTGAAATCCAAGAATGCCCAGATTGGGTGGCACTGGTTAACTCTCGGTGGGAAGTGGACAATTAGAAAGCTTTGAATCTGGATGGTCACATTTCCAGCGGGTCTCATTATGTGTGTTCCCAGAAGACACGCACGTAAAAAGGACGAGGCCAGTGACCAAAGAGAGAACGGGAGTGAAAGAGTAATTGATGATGGAATTAGAGGATGGGATTGCTAAAAAAAAAAAGATTAGTATGGAGTGATTTGTGAATGTGCAATGAAAGCAGGTGTCTATGTGGCCTATCTTGTTTCCATCTGTAAGTCAAAGTTCACTAAAGTTCCATTTTGTGCTTTATTTTAGAAAGTTTGACCTAAAATAGTTCAAAGGTTTAGTTTTGTATTCGTGGATTCCAGTTCCCAACGAGATGTGACGTGAACTGGTCTACACATTGTAAAGCTAACGAGTCAAAAAGTGGAAAAAAAAAGTGTTCTTGACTCAACTACAAAGCTGGTTTGGGTAAAATTATTGTCTGACTCACTATCTGACTGACTGACTCACTGTCTCTCTGACTGACTGACTCACTGTCTGTCTGACTGACTGACTCGCTGTCTCTCTGACTGACTGACTGACTCACTGTCTGTCTGACTGACGCACTGTCTCTCTGACTGACTGACTCACTGTCTGTCTGACTGACTGACTCACTGTCTGACTGACTGACTCACTGTCTGACTGACTCACTGTCTGACTGACTCACTGTCTGTCTGACTGTCTGACTGACTAACTGACTCACTGTCTGACTGACTCACTGTCTCACTGTCTGACTGACTCACTGTCTGTCTGACTAACTGACTCACTGTCTGACTGACTGACTCACTGTCTCTCTGACTGACTGACTGACTGACTGACTGACTCACTGTCTCTCTGACTGACTGACTGACTCACTGTCTGTCTGACTGACTGACTCACTGTCTGTCTGACTGACTGACTGACTCACTGTCTGTCTGACTGACTAACTGACTCACTGTCTGACTGGCTCACTGTCTGACTGACTCACTGTCTGTCTGACTGACTGACTCACTGTCTGTCTGACTAACTGACTCACTGTCTGTCTGACTGACTCACTGTCTCACTGTCTGACTGACTCACTGTCTGTCTGACTAACTGACTCACTG